GCGTGCCACGTCGTTGAACCCACAATCACGTGCCACGTCGTTGAACCCACAATCGCGTGCCACGTCGTGCGCTGTTCGCGCCACTGCCCAGCTCCGAACACAGCGCTGGGCAGCGCTGTATCGAACACGCGCTGTTCGATACTCTAGCATTCAGGAATCAGGACTTCGCCGAAATTTTAGAGCAGCGGGGGGGTTTCCGAGGATTGTCTCTAACTTTCAGGACTTAGCCAATTTTTTGGAGAAGCGGGGGTTTTCAGAGGGTTGTTGCTAACTTTGAGAACTTAGCCGAAATCAGCCCCTGGTGTGTCAAGTTGGCGTGATTGACAGGGAGGGTGGGGGGGGGGGGGGGGAATTCGGAAATAACGGGCGGGGGGGTTGGGTCTCGGAATCGGCTATTATGTAGTGTCAGGGTCGGTCCCCAATACGACGCTGGAAAAACAGGCCTCACTAAACCAGTCACGCTGATCGATCAGAGTTCACTTCTAAAAAAACGCTGAAATTTCAGGCCCGTGTTACAAAAAAACCCTGTCTCATCAGGGTCACCCCGAAAACAAACCCTGATTTTACCCTGAATCAGGGTAAAAAGCCTGCAATCTGAGGCCCTGCCCAGGAGGCTTGAACTGAAAGGTCTGGAACTCTATCGTTGGTTCGGGATTGTTCGAGTCATACGCCCTGTAGCAAGCCTCGGTAAGGAACTACTAATTCCTTACAGTGACCGCGGCGATGCGAGACGTTGTACAAGCGGCGACGTGTGTTGTGCGGGGTTTAGGAGATTAAGCGACAGCGGTGGGCGTGTCAGATACACTACTGATGCGCCACGTGGCAGGAGGCAGTCCCGATCAGCACTTCCACCCAGGGTCCTAAATAGCAGACTTTTTTTGTCTGATTGTCTGATTTTCAAACTGGTTTTTAGGGGTTTCTCTGATTTTTCAGACAGGGGCTTTCAAAAACTCTGATTGGACTAGACAAACTTTTAAGATTTCTCTGAAATTTTCAGACTAGGTGTACCAGTTTCTCTTATTTTTAGACAAGTGTTTTGAGTTTCTCTGAAACAAAGACATACAGGTGTAAGGTGCTCCCATGCGAATATTCCCTTTTTCGCGTCGCCACACATTGTCCCCCCTCCACATCCTTGGCATACGTGAGCCTTCCCGAGCCTTCTGTGGCAACATGTGATGTGGCTAGAGCACATGTGATTGGATACTTTATGGTATTGCAGAAAAGCAGACCAGTCAGAGGCCTTTGCGGCGCGTTACTTGGGTCTGCAACGCACACTGGGGATCAGACCATGCCTCACCCCATGCAGTGAACTTGCTGCAGCATACGTGCACCGCTGTACGTCATCCCGCCCATCACGACGCGTCGCCCGACCCATGGTCTCGTCACTTGCCAGTCCGTGCCGCCATGGCACTTGACCAAGAAACCCCCTCCCCAACCGCTTCTTGCTCCCTTCGTCTCCACCTGTTTCTTCCATCCACTTCTTTTACATTCTAGTGCTGATGTCATGCGTTGTGTTCTTCTACTCGTGTTCTGTTTCAGGTTTAGATTCCCCTCTCGAAGTAGGGCCAACATGGCTGTCGTTGTCGAGGCTGACGGCGACGATCAGCCAGAAGGGTGTAGCGAATCCCCGCCTCCCATGCGAGGCCTAGACTTCCTGCGTTCAAAGCTGTCGCGCACCCCTGCTGCACTTACCTCCTGTCGCCCAGCCACTATCGACCCTATGCTTGCGCCTTCCTCAGCCAAGCCCTCGCCATGGCCCGTGCCACTAGCATCCCCTCCTTTGTCGCCTGCGCGTTCGTCCAGCCCGTCCTTACCTCAGCCCTCGCAATCGCCCATACCATCGTCGGCGGTCCGCTTGGAAACCGATGCCGAAGCATCAGCTCGCTCCTCCGCCAAGAAGCGAAAGTATCGGCAGGCTTCTCTGCCGTGGTTCAAGGGCGCCACATCCAAGGCTCCTGACTCTGCACCGAGATCAGCGCCCGGCCCGTCTTCCGCAGAAGATATGGAGGACGATGATGCTGACGACGACGAGGAGGACGCAGAAGCAGCCGAGCCGCTGAAGGTCACTAAAGCACGTGAGGCAGAGCTGAAACACAAGTTTGAAACCGAGTGGTCGAAGAAGTTTCCGTGGCTCGTCCTCACCAAGACCGATCTTGGTCGCCCGTCCATCAAGTGCAGCATCTGCACGGCGCACCGGTTGGAGAACTGCAAGTACGGCAAAGGCGGACAGAGCGAAGCAGACATCCAGGTGCAGACGATGCGCAAGCACCAGCGTACCAAGAAGCACCAGGCCGCTGTCGAAAAAAAGGAGGCTAAGGAGAGGGCCGAGACAAAGCAGAAGCGCATCGAGGATTTCTCGAATGGCGACGTCGAAGGCAGACGTATCATTCGGTTGTTGATGGCGATGTTATTCATCTGCAGAACTGACGCACCGATCTTGATGTATGTTTCTCTAGTGAACTTCATGGCCTCGCAGGGTACGCCGGACTTGGGCGAGAGCAACTACGGCACCTACCACACAGAGTAAGTTTTTTGGATTTCGCAAATCTCCCATTGTTCGAACCGCTAGAGTCATCTAATGCTTCTCGTTGCTTGCCATGTGTTGCAGGTACGGATTCAGGCAGCTGACAGAGGCGACGGCGAATTACCTTCGGCAGAAGCAGCTCGAGCACATCCTGAAGAGTCATTTCATCGGTCTCAGCGTCGACGAAAGTACCGATCGACGGCGCGGCAAGCACTTAATTGTCTACGTGACATTCGTGAAGAACGACAGGGTTGTCACTGAGTTCTTTGCCTTACTCACTGTGCATAAGTGCGATGCTGGATCCATCTTAGCCGTTTTGCAGACCCATCTCGAATCGGTAGGTGTCGACATCAATAAGGTTTCAGGCATCAGTACGGATGGGGCCAGCGTCATGAGGGGGGATCGACAGGGTCTGGTCGCCCGCCTTCGGCAGCTCGTGCCGCACCTCGTCTCTGCTCACTGCATTGCTCACAGGTGAGGCGTAGTGCAGCACCACTTCCTTGGCAGGTTTCCCGACTTCATCGACTAGTTCTGATTTATGTTTCTTGGTTTTGATGTATGATGTTCCGTGTTAGAGTAGGGAGGCTTTGGCAGCTAAGGACGCTGCCAAGAAGTTTCCCGACTTCAACATGATCGACGACATCATCAGGATGCTGGCCGAGATTTTGGGACGCTCCTCAGTGTGGCACGACCGCTTCAGAGAGCTGCAGGAGATCCTGATGAAGACCTTCCTGGAGATGCAGTCTATCTTCGCCATCCGCTGGCTTTCACGCGCCGAGGCAATACTCCGCTTGGTCGCAGTTCTTCCCGCTGCCATCCTGCTGCTGCACGAGTACGGCCGGGATTCATACGAGGTTGCAAGGGGCTATAAATTCCACTTTTGCCTCTTCTTCCTTGCCGACCTGCTGACAGAGCTCAACCAGCTTAACAAGAAGTTTCAGCGTCGCCAGGTAACGTATACGCTAACGCTTCAGATCGCGCACATACTTTCGATCGCGCACATGCATGTTCTATGCTGGGCTAAACATGCCTTGGCTATGTGATTTTCTCGTGCTACTTGCAGGTCGACATCACCAGGGTGGGAAGCATGGTGCAGAGCACCACCGAGGTGATTCGCGCACGGTACATCAACTGCGGCTCTTCTTTCGGCGGCCCCAGAAGCAAGCACCTGCACAAGTTCTTGACATCCCATGAGCCTGAAGGTCGTGTGGTCGTCGAGGGGGAGGCGAAGGATGGCGAGCCGGTCCGCCACGAGTACATCCTTCACACGAAGTCGATTTCGGACTCGGAGTTCAAGAGCGACAAGAAGTCTTGCATTGTGTTGTGCCGTGCCATGGCCCAAGAGACGATCGACTGCATCGAGTCAAGGTTCAGTGACCTGCAGCAACTCGGAGGAACCAAGTTTTTTCTCTCAAGCGCCTATCCCACTGCGCGATCGGACCGCGAGAAGAAAGCGCTTGAGTGGCTGGCGCTTTTGAAAAAGTTATTCAACAACAAGCCCCTACCTGGTAAGTACTCTAGACCAACATACTTTTTCAAGTGCTTTTCTGGATTACCCTTCTAATGTTTACTTAGTGTGTCTGTTATCTGAGTGCGATGCCATGCGTTATAATCACACTTTGCTGATTCCCTCCCCTCGCAATGTACCCCCCCCCCTCCCCCTCCCAGGCGTTAGCTGGAAGCGCGCCAAGGCAGAGCTGGCCTCATTCGTCAACATCATGGATGCGCATCACGGGGAGATGGCGTACCACGTCAGCCTGCGGCACATGCTTGGGACACGCGACTGGGAAGATGCCTATCCCAATCTTGTTAAGATTTGGGTGGCAACCGCCGTGCTCCCGTTGAGCATGATGGAGTGCGAGCAGGGATTTTCCCACCAGAACGTCATTAAGAGCTGGTCTCGGGGCAACCTCTGTGATGCCCGCTTGGGCGACCTTGTGTGCATCTCCCTCCTGCAGGATTACGACATGCAGTGGGATGAGATCGTTGACATGTGGAAGGCCGCCAAGCCAAGGCGGCCTAGCCAGGATGCAATTGCCCCCATTCTTGCCCCAATGTCCAGGAAGAAGAAGAGCAAGGCCGAGGCAAAGAAGAGAAGGAAGATCGCAGAGCTCGAGGCTCAGATCAGGAACTGGAAGGGGATGGCTGTGGTTGAGGAGTATGGGCTGGAGGAAGGAGAGGTGGAAGAGGATGTGGAGGGGGGGGTAGAGGAGGAGCTGACGGAATTTGATGATGATGAGGAGTAGGTACCGTAAATGTAGGGAGCGAGGGAATGGCCATCTGCCAGCATGCTCGTTCGTTTGTAACTTGCAAGTAGTACTAAATCAAAGTGCTAAACTGTATCTTCCATTGTCACACACAATAACAGACTATGCAGTAGAATTTCTCTGTATTTTCAGACAAAGATTCTCAAATTCTCTGGAAAATCATACAAGGTTTTCAAAATTCTCTGATCCTGAAAAGCGCATCAGACAAAGTGCGCAGAACGTGTCTGATTGCTCAGACACGTTTTTTTCCAAAAGAGAACCCTGCTTCCACCCGCTCAATGAACACGAAAAAACTCCCCGCAACAAGCATAAGTATACAAGTTCAATTCTTACATGAACATGAATGTCGCCATAAAGTCAAACCGGCGAAACCAAGACCACCGGACACCAGCGAATGAATGTTTGTTACCTGTGTAGCGCCCAGAATCATGGCTTGAAATTCACATTTTGTGAACCCAAGAACACTTATTGACACCTTCTGAGACAAATTATATGAAACAATGCCATGTGCCTAATTTTTAGACTTGTAAAACAACTTATGGTCAGAATAATTCTTCCAGGACAATGCGTGCGATGGAGGCTGTAGTTGAACCCCATTGCTTGCTTGCTGTTGCTGCTGCTGCTTTTGCTGCTGTTGCTCAATTGGCCGACACATCACAATGATGAACTAGAGAGATTGTCAACTGGTGGTCAGCGAGTAGTAACCGTTGAAGTTGACTTGCGTTAGCAGCTTGTGCACTTGTGGTGTAGACACCGAGTGGTGCAGCTTTCCCACCGACACAAATAGAGCACACGCCTTAGCAGCCAGCTCCTGCCATAAAATAAACGAGGCAGGGGGGGGGGGGAGTGCGAGTAGGTGAATGAGGCTGAGGGGTTGACAATGTACCCAAACTGTGTTATGTCTGGTTAGCAGGATAACCCACCATGTCTTGCAGCAACGTCAGGGGCAGGGATGACTTGTAAGCCGACAACAAAACACACCTTGTGAATGCCTAGCCCACGCACGTCGTGCAGGAGCGGCAGCGGCAGCGGTGCATGGGGTGCAGGCGGCGGCAGAAGTCCATGGAGAGCACGAGGAGGGGGAGGAGCACCGGCACATTAGTGCAGCTAACCACGCCAAACTCTATGTCCTTAGAATCCATTGCTCACCTTGCGCATGTCTTGCAGGAGAGGCAGGGGCAGTGGGGCGTTGTGGTGCAGGCGGCGGCAGAGCTTCATGCAGCACAAGAGGAGGGAGTGCAGGGGGCGCATGAAGTGTGCGTTGCCCAGCATCAGATGCCGCTCCAGCGAGCAGAGGAAACTGAGAGGACAGACAGAAGCACCGGGGTGGGTAAGAGGTGCCTTTTGATACTAAGGAACACGAGGAGGGAGTGCAGGAGGCGTGTAAAGTGCACGTTGCCCAGCATCAGGTGGCACTCGAGGGAGCAGAGGAAGCTGGGGGATAAGCAGGGAAGGAGCAGAGGAGGAGGAATGGGACCACGAAAGGAGAGTGCAGTGCGTGTTGGCTAGCATCAGGTGGCGCTCCAGCAAGCAGAGGGAGCTGAGGAGGATGACACAAGGGAGGGTGGGGAAAGCAGAGAAGGAGCACAGGAGGAGGGATGGGAAAGGGAAAGGAGAGTGCAGTGCGTGTTTCCCAGCATCAGGTGGCACTCCAGCGAGCAGAGGAAACTGAGGGAGACCAAACGGTTGACAAAACGGGGGTAGAAAAAGCAAGATCTAGTGCGTGGGAAGGGAAGTGCGCTTCAGCCAGCAGCACGTGCACTTCAGGGAGGAGAGGAAGGTGAGGGGAGATAAATGAAAGGAGGAGGGTTTGGAAAGAGGGGAGATAGCACATGGTCGGGTGGGCGGGTACGGCAACGTGAAATGGTTGTTGGCAGCGATAGATTTAGAAAGTTTAACTTGGGTCACACGCCATTCAGGAAGGAGAGGAAGGTGGGAAAGGAAAAGGAGGAGGGTGATGGAGTCGGGCCAGGGAGACAGTAATGCACGCGAGGGAGGATGAAGCGAGTGTTTGTCCGACAAGGTGCCAACACAAAGGCGCGCATCACAAGGCAGTTTAAAGCTGATACGAGGCTGGCACAAGGTAGAACAGGTAAGCAAGTGCGGTGATAAAGAGGTTTGAAGTCGAGTGCCCACTCACAGAGTGGCAGGGCACAACTGCCATGGATGGATGGAGTGGTGAACATTGAGGAAACAACTACCATTCATGCATTGGCATGAGACGGCAGGCCACAGAGGGCTTGCATCATGCATGGCGAGGGGAACCCACCAACCAGGAGAAAGGTGAAGTCGGGTTTCTCGCGAATGGAGGCAGGTTCAAGAGACAAGTGGGAAGGGGGGGTATCAGGGGTGCAGTGCGATAACTCACCGCTCATGGGCAACCAGAAGAAAGGTGAAGTCGGGATTCTCGCGAATGGAGGCGAGGAAGCTGCCCCACTCCACCTCCACCACGTCCGCCTGCAGGCAGGAGGGCGATGATACGAGAGGGCGGGGTGGGCGATGATACAAGAGGGTGGGGCGCGGGTGGCACAAGGGTTTGGCACAAGGGATTGGCACAAGGAGTTGATATGACTTTTGGAATGGAGGCGAGGAAGCTGCCCCACTTTACCTCCACCACATCCGCCTGCAGGGGGGGAATGGGAGGCGTAGAGAGAGAGGGGAGGAGTGAGTGTTAAGCATGGCTTGAGGTGCGCCATTCCATCACTGCCACATTAGCCGACATACATGTACATCGCTCTGCACGCTCCTGGCCTGCAGCGTCTCCAGCAGCGTCTCCCGCAGCATCGCCCGCAGCATCGCCCGCAGCGACGCCCTCAGCATCCCCCTCAGCATCCCCCTCAGCATGCGGACAATTGATGCAAGGTAAGTACGCTTACGCTTACGACATACGCTCACGCTTACCATGTACGTGGACACTTGATGCTCCCCCTTCAAGTAGGTACTGTACGCTTACCATGAAAAGTTGGCTTTGGGGGGTGCAAGGCAGAGCAGGTGAGGTTACCCCGTACGTGCATCTGCAGGTAGCTCTGCAGACTGGTCACCAGCTGCAGCATCTTCGGAGCTTGCAAACACTGGGAGCGACGAGCACAAGGCATGGAACGTACGTGCAGGTAGCTCTGCAGGCTGGTGACGAGCTGCAGCCTGCAGCATCTCTCTCAGCATCCGCCGCATGTAAACACTGTAGGCATATGAAGGCGACTCTGATAAAAGCAAGGGCACTCACGTGCAGGTAGCTCTGCAGGCTCGTCACCAGCTGCAGCATCTCCCGCAGCATCATCAGCAGCATCAAATGCTCCTTGCGCTCCGACAGAGATATGCGCACCACACTCCCCCCGCCTCCTGCTCCCGTGCTCCCTGCCCCTCCCCTGCTCATTCCAGCCGTGCTTGTACTTCTAGTAAAGCCACTAGCAGCACCAGTACCAGCAGCACCAGTGGCGGCAGCAGCACCAAACCCTCTAACAGCACCAGCGCCAGAGCCACTATCACTGCTACCGCTCCTCACAACCTCCCTACTTCCCGCTGGCAAAGACCACGTCCATTTCATCCCCTCCTCCTGGCCCCTTCCCCCCTGCTCCACCCGCCCTTCCTGCTGTGCCTGCACCCCACTCGCATCTGCCCCTCTCGGCCCCACAACTCCACCCCTCAACCCCGCATCTCCACCTCTCAATCCCTCAACCCCGCCTCTCAACCCTTCACCTCCCCCTCTCAACCCTACACTGGCACCTTTTTCCGGCAGGCCTCTCATTCTCGCTGCTTCCCGCCTGGTCTTGCAGAGCAGCGTCCACGCGTGCTGCAGCTCGAGCGCCACGCGGCGCAGGCGGAAGAGGAAGACGGCCACGGCGTTGTAGCGCTGCAGGGCCGCCGGCGACAGCACCAGCTGTAGCGGCCACGCTACAGCCGTGTCGATCACCAGCCGGTCCCACCAGTTCACCGCTCCTCCTCCTCCCCCACCTCCGCCTCCCGCCCCTCCACCGCCTGAGTGCGTGCGGGTCACTGCTATGCCCGAGGCTACTTGCCCTGCCAGTTGCCTTACAACTTGAACCTGCCCCTGGCCCTGCCCTTCGCCTGGTTGCTGTTTATGTGCGCCTGTGTGCGTCTGCCCGTGTGCGTGCCTTTCAGCCGTCTCCATGCTCGTCAGCCTTGAACCCGGGGGGACGAACGGAGTAACAACCAGCCCTGACCCACCCCCATGCCCTGTACCCACTGCTGCCACAGCTGCCCCGGCTCCTACGGCTGCCCCTGCCACCATTTCGGCTGCTCCTCCCGTCGTTCGCACCACTCCCACTGCTGCTGCGTCGGCTGCTGTCGCTGCTGCAGCTGGCATGGCAGGCTGGGTTGATGGTTGTGCCTTTGAGGAGTCAGGGGGGATGAACCTGGACACACACCATAGTCGCAGAGCATGTCACGCCATGTCACGCCATGTTATGCCACCATGGCACGCCATGTCATGGCACCATGTCACACCATGTCACACCATATCACGCCATGTCACACCATGTCGCATCAGAATGCAATCATGTCATGCCGGCATGTCACACCATGTCATGTCACCATGGCATGCCATGCCACGATTCGACACCAAACCATCCCAACAACCCCTCGTTTTTAGTAACAATTTGCCATACCAAACCCTACGATACTTGAAATGTTAAAAATCCCTTTACAAGACCCAACCATTGCTGGACGCCTCCGCTTTCTGTACCCATGCGGTTGTGCATGGCGCGGTGTCCAAATAGAGTAGAGTGTGGGTTAGAGAGCGCAGCTCACTCAAAGGTGAATTTGGGGATGTAGTTGAGAGGAGAGGGAAGGAGGACGAGCAGGAAGGAAAGGTGGCAGAAAGGACATGAAGAGAGAAAGATGCTCACTTGAAGGTGAACTTGGGGAAGTACTTGAGAGGCGCCTCCTCTATGATCGTTGCTGATGCCTATGGATGGAAGAGGAAGGAGGATGGAAGACGAAAGGAATGGGGTTGATCTGTAGCTAGTGTACATCACATATTTGTCAATTTGATATGTAGCTAGTGCAGATCGCATATTTGTCAATTTGATATGTAGCTAGTGCAGATCGCATTGACAAAGAGGTGTAACTCGAGTTACTTCCCCGTCCAGCCATCCACACATCCATGCATCCAAACATCCATGCATTCACACATCCATGCATCCACACATCCATGCATTCACACATCCATGCATCCACCCATCCATGCATTCACACATCCATGCATCCACCCATCCATGCATCCACCCATCCATGCATCCACCCATCCATGCATCCACCCATCCATGCATCCACCCATCCATGCATCCACCCATCCATGCATCCACACATCCATCCATGGATGCATTCATACATACACCCATCCCATTTTTACCACTGTCCATATTGATGCATCCATTTTCCCATCCATGCAGCAGGCATGACTAGTCATGGCACCAGCACCATCCATGCACTCCAACATACCATCCCATCTCAATTCATCCCTTCAGTCCCGCCGCACCACAAACTAATATATCACCACCTGCTCAATCGCCATGTGCAGCTTATCATGGGCTGGCCTGGCCACACAAAGCACACCGCGCACGAAACAACGAAGGTGCCCACCTGCTCCACTGCCACCTGCAGCTTGTCATTGGCCGTCCTGGCCCTCACATCCGGCTGAGTTAGCAGCTCCCTCAGCGACTGCCCTACCGTCTGATAAATAGAGAGCAGGGGAGGGAAGCGCAAAAGGCAGGGGGAAGCAACGAGTCCCTGACATAGATCCAGTGAGCGCAGTAAAAATAGACCGAGAGTAGGGGAGGGAAGGGAAAGTGGCAGGGGGAAACAGCAAGTGGGAGGGAGGAACAGGAAAGAGGAGTAAAGAGAGGGAGGGGGAACAGAAAGGAGGGGTCCAAGATGGGAGGGGAAAGGGGGGTTGGGAAGATGTGAGGGAAAGACGAGGCAGGCGGATAGAGAGAGCGTGAGGGAAGGAAGAGGAGCGGCTATGTGCTTCTATTTTGAAGCACCCCGAAGCTGTCCGAAGCCCCCCCATTCTGAAGCAACCCGAAAACCTGTACCAGCCCGTGCCTGGTCTGGGTCCTATCCCAGCATTCACAGTTGTGCAGGGCGCAGTTTTTACCCCAGCATCAAAAGTGGCTGCCAGGCATCAGGGAGCTACACCCATCCCACGTGGCAGTCTCATCCAGGTGGCTGCACCCTGCACCCTGCAGCCACCCAAGACCCCTCCTCCGCCCAGCAGGAAGTGCACCGCTTGCAGGCGGCTGGCTGTCTCTGGTGTTATGTAGGACCAGGGCATTCTATCTGCCTACCTGCATGAACGCCCCTCCTCCGCCCAGCAGGAAGTAGTGCACCGCTTGCAGATGGCCAAAGAGGTCGCTCTCATGCACCACCAGCTGTGATATAGAGGATAGAAGGGCAAAGGGGGAGGGACGAAGGTGGGAGGGGTCAGCAGTGGACGGCTTGAAGATGGCCAAAGAGGTCGCTCTTGTGCGCCCACTCTGCTCATGCAACCTCGAACGCCATGCACACACGATTCAAGTCGTCTGGATGCCAACCAACTCACCTTCCACCACACCCTGTGCACCGCTACCCCTCGCCGCTTCCACCACCTCGTGCACCCCCTCCTTGTGAAACCTGGAGCGCCATGCATACATGTCTCAAACACTCCACGCGCCAGCCAACGTACTTCCCACACACAGGTACTGCATCGTCATTCCCCTCGCCACCTCCACCACCTCGTGCACTCACTGCTCGCCCCAACCCCCCACCTTACGACATGCACTCACAAGTCATGAGCCAACCAAGTCACCTCCCACACGCTGTGCGCCGCTGCTGCCCCTTGCCCCCTGTATGCTGCTCCTGCCCCCTTTAGCGACAAGCAAACGTGTCATTCACACACTTGCTATGCACACACGTGTCATTCGCACAATTGCTATGCACACACGTGTCATTCGCACACTTGCTATGCACACACGTGTCATGCACCAACCAACTCACCTCCCACAGCCGGTGCGCTGCTATTCCCCTCGCCGCCTCCACCACCTCGTGCACGCGCTGCTCGTCCCATGCCTGCCCCGTGCGTTCCTGATCCAGCAAGGGGGTGGTGTACGGATAGGGGGGAATGGGGGGGAGAAGAGGGAGGGGATGCACAGGAGGAAGTGTCCAAGGCACCCGAAAGGATGGCTTATGGGAGTTGTACCACATCACACTCGTCCCCCCACCACCACGCTACCATGTAACAAGACAGTTGATTGAATCAAACGGGACTAACAGATATTGTCTCACGCTTACCCGGAGCGTTAATCCTCTCAAGACGCTGCCAAGCGTCCACAGCACATCCTTCTTATCTCATGTGTCCCATGCCTGCCACCACCACCCCTCCCTCCTTCCCTCCAGGTTCCTCCGCCGCCTCCTCGCCTCCTTCAGCAGCAGCATGGCTCGACTCTGCTGCCCCAGAGGGGAAGCCGGGGGGCAGGGCTGACTCTCTGCTTACTCATGTGGACAAGACTCTCACCCTGAGGGACAAGACGCTGTCGAGTATCCTCCCCACGTCAGCTTCGTGCGTCCCATGCCTGCCGCCACCATACCCCCCACCCTCCAGGTTCTCCCGCCGCCTCCTGGCCACCTGAAGCAGCAGCATGGCTCGCCCCACAAAGAGGGCCGACTCCGCTGTCTCGGGCGTGAAGCCAGGGGGCAGCCGGGACTGGGAAAGGGGGAGAGGAGAGGGAAGCAGGGGGTGGGGGGGGACGAGGGTGGGAAAATGGGTGCCATGACACATCCCCACCCGGCAGGCTCTCCCGTCGCCTCCTGGCCTCCTGCAGCAGCTGCATGGCTTGCCCCACGAAGCGGTCTGACTCCACTGTTTCGGGGGCGAGGGGTTAGCCGGGACTGGTGGTTGGGGGGATGGGGGGAGCAGGGGATTGGGTGCGTGTGGGGTGGGAGAATGTATTCTCCCCTCGCCCCACAGCGAGGGCTAGATTTGCTGTTTCCGGGGACTGGTGGTTTAGGAGGGAGGGGAGGGGAGAGGAGGGGGAAGGCAGCATTCTTGACTGCTCTCTGCTCGCCCCACAACGAGGGCCGACTCCGCTGACTCGGAGGGGACGCAGGGGGGCAGCCGGGACTGGAAATTGGTGGGGAAAAGAGGGGGGGGAGGAGGGGGGACACAGAGGGCAGCGAAGAGAAAGGATGCAAGGAGGGAGTATCGCTTCAGTGCATGTTCGCCCTATTAGATTGCCATCAGATGAGACGGGATGGGGTGGGACGGCACGCCTTCCCACCCCATCTCATCCCCAGCCACGCCTTCTCACGGGATACAATGGCATGCTGGTAGAGAAGGGCATGTGATGCTACAACCACGGCTAACATGATGCGACATGCATTCTCTTGCAAGATAACGATGCCATGCATATCCCATGTCATGCTGCTGCATGGCATGACACATGACCATGGACAAATAAACGCCATCACTATCATTAGCGGTCCAAACTAAAAACAAATCATGCATATCCGCCCTACCACACGCACATCCGGCGTACCTCAACAATGCTGTATTCGTCCCAGGAAACCATGGACGCGTCTGTCCGCCTCTCCGCCCCCGCACCCGGTGCAGCCATGCCTGCAAGTGATTCAGCAGGTGCCGCCCTGAGATGCAAACATATGCGCAAACGTGCACATACTCATACAGGGACACACCCATGAACACATGCACATAAGCATAGAAGGACACCTGTGTTGGAAAAAACGCACAATTGTGTTTGCGTATTGCGTTTAAACGCACCAAAAATACGCACGCTGCGTTTTTGGTGTGCATACGCCGAAAAACGCACGAGCTGGCCGGAAAAAACGCACACATAAGAATACAGGGACACATGCACGGATGCATACACATACAAACGCATACAGGGACACATGCACGGATGCATACACATACAAACGCATACAGGGACACATGCACGGATGCATACACATACAAACGCATACAGGGACACATGCACGGATGCATACACATACAAACGCATACAGGGACACATGCACGGATGCATACACATACAAACGCATACAGGGACACATGCACGGATGCATACACATACAAACGCATACAGGGACACATGCACGGATGCATACACATACAAACGCATACAGGGACACATGCACGGATGCATACACATACAAACGCATACAGGGACACATGCACGGATGCATACACATACAAACGCATACAGGGACACATGCACGGATGCATACACATACAAACGCATACAGGGACACATGCACGGATGCATACACATACAAACGCATACAGGGACACATGCACGGATGCATACACATACAAACGCATACAGGGACACATGCACGGATGCATACACATACAAACGCATACAGGGACACATGCACGGATGCATACACATACAAACGCATACAGGGACACATGCACGGATGCATACACATACAAACGCATACAGGGACACATGCACGGATGCATACACATACAAACGCATACAGGGACACATGCACGGATGCATACACATACAAACGCATACAGGGACACATGCACGGATGCATACACATACAAACGCATACAGGGACACATGCACGGATGCATACACATACAAACGCATACAGGGACACATGCACGGATGCATACACATACAAACGCATACAGGGACACATGCACGAATGCATACACATACAAACGCATACAGGGACACATGCACGGATGCATACACATACAAACGCATACAGGGACACATGCATGCACACATACACAAACGCATACAGCGACACATGCATGCACACATACACATACGCATACAGGGACACATGCATGCACACATACACAAACGCATACATGGACACATGCACGGACACATACACATACACATACGCATACAGGGATGCATGCACTGCACGGACGCATACACATACGCATACAGGGATGCATGCACGGACGCACAGCAAGTCTCGGAAGCAATGCCCCATGCACACCTGAAGTGCCAACCCCAACTGTTGAATGCCAAACATGGGAGCCGAATTGCGCCAGAGAAAGAGAGACGGATGGGGAAAGGGGAAGGAGAGGGGGTCGGGGGGGGCATGGGGACGAGGCAGTCACCTTGAGACGAAAAACTCCATGGCCCCATCAAGTGGCAAGTTGCCGAAGGCCATCCAGTGAGCCAGCTGCCCCACCCACACCCGCTGACAGTGGCGAATGCACCTGCAGGGAGGACAACGGAGAAGCTGAGATGCAGAGACATTTAATGGACTCCACAATCATCTGCCCCACCCACACAGGTGCCTTTGCCTACTAGAAACGGGCCGGGCCGGTCCGGCCCGGGCCAATGCTCATGCCTATCTCAAAGAGAGCTATGTTTCATGTAGACGTCCACATGTTGAAACTGGTAGACGGAGGTTGTTTCCAACATATTGTGTCTGAAGTCTAGGCGGATTCGGCTTCACTCATGCAGGTGCTGGAGAGGCAGGTCCATAGCTGCGTACTCGTTCAGGGCGCTAGATAGCATGCAGGGCCCATAGCTGCTCTCCTGCTCCAGAAAGCGAAGCAAATGCGCGCCTGTTAGGTTGTCTCGCTCTATAGCAGATGTGACTCTAACGAGGCCCGTCAGCAGCTGCTCGTACTGCACCGTAAGGAAAGGAAGAGGAAGTAAATTAAGTTAGTAACAAAATCGAGAAGAGAAAAGTAAAGGAACAGATGAGGACGAGCAGGGCATGAGGGTTGGTGCTCTTGAATTAGGGACAAGGGTATCGCTGCTGAAACACCGATTGTAAATCACCATCAGAAGGGAACTCACTGTGGAGAGTTTCGCCCAGACGGCTCTGATTGATTGCTGGGAGCAGAAGAGGTGGTCAACGGCGTGCGTGTACGGCAGCAGAGCGGTTTCCAGCAGACTCGTCGCGAACGCGCACTGCAGGCTGCTGGCCCCGTCCCTCATCATTCCTCCTGGTGCGCCACCTGCGGTCGTTGCAGCAGCTGCTGCTCCGATGGCTGCGCTGCGAGCATCTAGGAGGCGGCGGGAGAAGAGCTGGACCTCCGCGAAGCACGCTGCCAGCTGGAGAAGCTTCTCCACCCACGGCCTGTGATGTGGACGTATGGAGGACCGGACGTAGGATGACATGGACTGGTAGTGATGTTGCAAGTGGACTGAGTACAGAGGAGCAAGATTGTATCAAAATGGGCAACCATGAACGTACGGAGACTCATGAGTCTCCAGGATTCATGTGTCATGGCACCGAGATTCATGAGTCATGACACCGAGATTCATGAGTCATGACACCGAAAATCATGAGTCATGACACCTAGTTTCACATGTCATGACACTGAGATTCGTGAGTATGACACCGAGATTGATGAGTCATGACACCGAGATTTATGAGCCATGACACCGAAATTCATGAGTCATGACAGCGAGTTTCGTGAGTCATGACACCGAGATTCATGAGTCATAACACCTAGATTCATATTTTTTTAACGAATCGGGAGCATATTGACACCGAGTTTCACGAGTCATGACGAGTCATGACACCGAGGTTCATGAGTCATGGCTCCGGGATTCATGAGCCATGACACCGAAATTCATGAGTCATGACACCGAGAGTCATGACACCGAATTTCATGAGTCATGACACTGGGATTCATGAGTCATGACACCGAGATTCATGAGTCATGACACCGAGTTTCACGAGCCATGACTCCCGGATTCATGAGTGATGACACCGGGATGCCGCGCGCGGACATGGAGTGAGATTGGCGAGACTGGCCGACACAAACTGGCTCATTCGCTCCAATCTCACTCCGGTGCGAGCATCGCCGAATTCCAGCGCAGCGAGACTTACAGCTCCTCCGTTGGATCGAAAGAGTCCTCCGTAACCAGCGGCGATTGCGGTGAATATGTTCCCGAGGCGACATCGCGCTGGTAAGCCTGGAAAGCCTTAAAATTCGCTGCGAGCTCGCGTGGCTGGCCGCGAAGGGCCACCAGCAACTCCTGTCGCGACGAAATCATCGCGGAGGAAACCAATCAGCTTGAAATGCGATTATCCGAGATGCGGTAGCAAGGGTTATCGGTATTCCCTGCTATCAGAACCCGTAGCTCTGGTAGCATTCTAGGCTCTGCTGAAGAACCTACAATACTGCTTGTGCCTTCTTGTGTCTGTAATACGGCTCCGGAAAAGCTGGATGTGGGCAATGTCGGAAGGATGCTGAGCGAACCGATTTGAACCGCACTAAATGTCGTCAAAACAACATTGAATGGATGGAGAATGTGAACCCCGAGAACGTGACCCGAACCAAACCGAACCGATGGGCACCTTCAATAAAGTTCCCCGGCCCGTCCATTCTCAAGCTGGTCGCCAATTGTCCATCTTTTGCGAAAAGAAAGGCAACAATGTTTGAGCGGGGATTTGATTGGCGAGAACACGAAAATTCAGGTAACTCTTTGGGTAATTTGCTGCTAGATGGGCAACATCGGGTTGCTGATCTCTACGGACAAGATTTGTTCTCAGAACTAGAATACGTCATCTTTCAAATCAGCGTCATTACGAACAGTTCTGAATCATCAAATTTTGTGTGGTTTTCCGTTATGATCGACGGAAAGATGAATCGACCATTCAAAACGCGACACATAGGCACAAACCTGTTTCAACCCCCAAAACGCAACCGAACACAAACCTGTTTCAACACAGCAATATATAGAAAATAGGAAATAGAGCAGTTGTAGAATACAGTTAAAGCGAGAAGATATAATAATGACCCCCCTTTCTAGTTGGGCCCAGTTTGATAGGGGGTGTACAGTAGGCAAAATGAGCCCGGCGCACGAACGTCAGAATGGAATTCCATTTCGCCCCTGGGCAGCTGACCGCCCATGGAGGTGTGGCAACACAACGAAAAAACAATGTGTGCGACATGACTAGAGCACCTAGCGACCCAGACGACTCTGCAAGAACGCGCGCCAATCAGAAACAGGTACCATATGCCCCCAAAACAAAAACAACGCCAGAGTTCCAACCTGTCGTGAACCCATGTGAGGGACCTAGGATTACGAGTTTCCCAACAATAAAAAAGGGCACAGAAACTGAGCCGCGCCTTCTCGTCGAGCCGACCAAGCACCTCCTCACTCACAAATGGCCTCCTCTTGGCTCTCGTACAGCCCGGCATCCAATAGAAACTGCACACTTGGCTGAAAATCTCACATCGTTTCAACACGTGGTAAGTAGATACCAGGGCATAGACCCCTGCACGACGGAAGCGGAGACTCGACTCGCGCATCACCTTTTCGAGCTCTTTCGTCCGTTGAACGTCCTGCGCCTCGTCGCGCTAGCCATCGCATGCGGCACGCGTGCAGACGAGCTCGCGCTAAGCTGCCCTTTGACCGAGGCGCAAAGAAAACGAGGTCCCCGCACAAGACGCGTAATCGAGAGACCACGCGCCTCGCACCTCAAGCCACGCGCTGTGGGCTCGTTGCTCGCCGCCGACTAAACCTAATCTTGATATGGCGCGGGAGCTCCAGCCTCCCCACCCGCTAGCCAGTAAGCACATCCCGCGAGAGGAGTCCCCGAGGAAAAAGAGGGGTGGATACGGCAAAGAGCGCGGGGAAGAGGGGGTTAAACTGAGAGGAGGGCAGGGGGAAAGGGAGAGAGGGGCAGGGGGAAAAGGAGAGAAGGGCAGGGGGAAAGGGAGAGAAGGGCAGGAGGAAAGGGAGAGGAGGGCAGGAGGAAAGGGAGAGAAGGGCAGGAGGAAAGGGAGAGGAGGGCAGGGGGAAAGGGAGAGAAGGGCAGGGGTAAAGGGAGAGAAGGGCAGGAGGAAAGGGAGAGGAGGGCAGGGGGAAAGGGAGAGGAGGGGAGGGGGAAAGGGAGAGCAGGGCACGGGGAAAGGGAGAGAAGGGCAGGGGGAGAGGGAGAGAAGGGCAGGGAGAAAGGGAGAGAAGGGCAGGGGGAAAGGGAGAGAAGGGCAGGGGGAAAGGGAGAGGAGGGCAGGGGGAAAGGGAGAGAAGGGGAGGGGGAAAGGGAGAGGAGGGCACGGGGAAAGGGAGAGAAGGGCAGGGGGAAAAGGAGAGAAGGGCAGGGGGAAAGGGAGAGAAGGGCAGGGGGAAAGGGGGAGAAGGGCAGGGGGAAAGGGGAGAGAACGGCAGGAGGAAATGGAGAGGAGGGCAGGGGGAAAGGGAGAGGAGGGGGGGGGAAAGGGAGAGGAGGGCACGGGGAAAGGGAGAGGAGGGCAGAGGGAAAGGGAGAGGAGGGCAGGGGGAAAGGGAGAGAAGGGCAGGAGGAAAAGGGAGAGGAGGGCAGGGGGAAAGGGAGAGAAGGGCAGGGGGAAAGGGAGAGAAGGGCAGGAGGAAAGGGAGAGGAGGGCAGGGGGAAAGGGAGAGGAGGGGAGGGGGAAAGGGAGAGGAGGGCACGGGGAAAGGGAGAGAAGGGCAGGGGGAGAGGGAGAGAAGGGCAGGGGGAAAGGGAGAGAAGGGCAGGGGGAAAGGGAGAGAAGGGCAGGAGGAAAGGGAGAGGAGGGCAGGGGGAAAGGGAGAGAAGGGGAGGGGGAAAGGGAGAGGAGGGCACGGGGAAAGGGAGAGAACGGCAGGGGGAAAAGGAGAGAAGGGCAGGGGGAAAGGGAGAGGAGGGCAGGGGGAAAGGGGGAGAAGGGCAGGGGGAAAGGGGAGAGAAGGGCAGGAGGAAATGGAGAGGAGGGCAGGGGGAAAGGGAGAGGAGGGGAGGGGGAAAGGGAGAGGAGGGCACGGGGAAAGGGAGAGGAGGGCAGAGGGAAAGGGAGAGGAGGGCAGGGGGAAAGGGAGAGAAGGGCAGTGGGAAAGGGCGAGGAGGGGAGGGGGAAATGGAGAGGAGGGCAGGGGGAAGGGGAGAGGATGGCAGGGAGAAAGGGAGTGGAGGGCAGGGGGAAAGGGAGAGGAGGGCAAGGGGAAAGGGAGAGGAAGGGGAGGGGGAAGGGGTTTAGGAGGGCAGGGAGAAATGGAGAGGAGGGCAGGGGGAAATGGAGAGGAGGGCAGGGGGAAACGGAGAGAAGGGCAGGGGGAAAGGGAGAGGAAGGCAGGGGGAAAGGGAGAGGAGGGCAGGGGGAAAGGGAGAGAAGGGCAGGGGGAAAGGGAGAGGAGGGGAGGGGGAAATGGAGAGGAGGGCAGGGGGAAGGGGAGACGATGGCAGGGAGAAAGGGAGTGGAGGGCAGGGGGAAAGGGAGAGGAGGGCAGGGGGGAGGGGAGAGGAGGGCAGGGGGAAAGGGAGAGGAGGGGAGGGGGAAAGGGAGAGGAGGGCATGGGGAAAGGGAGAGAAGCGCAGGGGGAAAGGGAGAGGAGGGCACGGGGAAAGGGAGAGGAGGGCAGGGGGGAAAGGGAGCGGAAGGGCAGTGGGAAAGGGAGAGGAGGGGAGGGGGAAATGGAGAGGAGGGCAGGGGGGAGGGGAGAGGATGGCAGGGAGAAAGGGAGTGGAGGGCAGGGGGAAAGGGAGAGGAGGGCAGGGGGGAGGGGAGAGGAGGGCAGGGAGAAATGGAGAGGAAGGCAGGGAGAAATGGAGAGGAGGGCAGGGGGATAGGGAGAGAAGGGCAGGGGGAAAGGGAGAGAAGGGCAGGGGGAAAGGGAGAGGAGGGCAGGGGGAAAGGGAGAGCAGGGCAGAGGGAAAGGGAGAGGAGGGCAGGGGGAAAGGGAGAGGAGGGCAGGGGGAAATGGAAAGAAGGGCAGGGGGAAAGGGAGAGGAGGGGAGGGGGAAAGGGAGAGGAGGGCACGGGGAAATGGAGAGAAGGGCAGGGGGAAAGGGAGAGGAGGGCAGGGGGAAAGGGAGAGCAGGGCAGGGGGGAAGGGAGAGGAAGGGGAGGGGGAAGGGGTTTAGGAGGGCAGGGAGAAATGCAGAGGAGGGCAGGGGGAAATGGAGAGGAGGGCAGGGAGAAGGGGAGTGGAGGGCAGGGGGAAAGGGAGAGGAGGGCAGGGGGAAAGGGAGAGGAAGGCAGGGGGGAAGGGAGAGGAAGGGGAGGGGGAAGGGGTTTAGGAGGGCAGGGAGAAATGCAGAGGAGGGCAGGGGGAAAGGGAGAGGAGGGCAGGGGGATAGGGAGAGAAGGGAAGGGGGAAAGGGAGAGAAGGGCAGGGGGAAAGGGAGAGGAGGGTAGGGGGAAAGGGAGAGCAGGGCAGAGGGAAAGGGAGAGGAGGGCAGGGGGAAAGGGAGAGAAGGGCAGGAGGAAATGGAGAGGAGGGCAGGGGGAAAGGGAGAGGAGGGCACGGGGAAAGGGAGAGAAGGGCAGGGGGAAAGGGAGAGGAGGGCAGGGGGAAAGGGAGAGCAGGGCAGAGGGAAAGGGAGAGGAGGGCAGGGGGAAAGGGAAAGAAGGGCAGTGGGAAAGGGAGAGGAGGGGAGGGGGAAATGGAGAGGAGGGCAGGGAGAAGGGGAGTGGAGGGCAGGGGGAAAGGGAGAGGAGGGCAGGGGGAAAGGGAGAGGAGGGCAGGGGGGAAGGGAGAGGAAGGGGAGGGGGGAGGGGTTTAGGAGGGCAGGGAGAAATGGAGAGGAGGGCAGGGGGAAATGGAGAGGAGGGCAGGGGGAAACGGAGAGAAGGGCAGGGGGAAAGGGAGAGGAAGGCAGGGGGAAAGGGAGAGGAGGGCAGGGGGAAGGGGAGAGGATGGCAGGGGGAAAGGGAGAGGAGGGCAGGGGGAAAGGGAGAGAAGGGCAGGGGGAAAGGGAGAGAAGGGCAGGGGGAAAGGGAGAGAAGGGCAGGGGGAAAGGGAGAGAAGGGCAGGAGGAAATGGAGAGGCGGGCAGGGGGAAAGGGAGAGGAGGGGAGGGGGAAAGGGAGAGAAGGGCACAGGGAAAGGGAGAGAAGGGCAGGGGGAAAGGGAGAGGAGGGCAGGGGGAAAGGGAGAGGAGGGCAGAGGGAAAGGGTAGCACACTCCTAAACCTACCTCCTCTCTTCAAACATCTCATCCGCATATCTCTCACCTTCACAACAACCCACCCTTCCTCGATTGTGAGCACCCTCCCACTCACCCTCTCCCTCCTCCGCCTCCACTGACCTTTACCGCCCCCTCTGTCCAGCCACCCACCTAGCGAGTAGCCATGCTGTCCACCACGTGCCTCACTCCAGTCTTACCTCTCTCCCACAATCCCCTTTCCTCTCCTATTCTCTCCCACCCCGCTTCTCCCTCAC